TATTGCATAATCACATAATGTTTGCAAAAATACAGATTTCAGTAATTTTTAAAAAGCATTATCATTGAACTTTTCTAAATCAAAGCTATCCAGATGATGAAAGTTAACTTTTTCCTTTTTTTTCTAGATCTAGAGTTTATATATTTCTTGGCAAGTAGTCTTTTTTTTTTGCTTCAGTTTTCATTGTTGTTTTTTTTCTTATTACAGAGATAAGAGTTAAATATACTCATTCTTTATGTCAATTCTAATGTGTTTAAGTAAACCTTGTTTTTAAAACAAAACTCTGATTTTACCACATTTTTCTCAGGTCATCTTGTACTTCCATTCTTCCAGTTTTTCACATCCATATTAAGTTTTGGAGTTGATCACTGCATGTAGTACTTTTACTGCATTTTAGCCCAAGATGAAGAACTTCAGAATTGTTCTTGTACCAGCTTCATAGAATTATTTTATGAACCAACTGGAAAATATTCCAGTAAGCTTTTCTTATAATAGGTCATTTGAACTACTCGTTGTCCTGATAATTGATGGAAGAAATGCCAAAGTAGATGATTTTCTAGTTTTAAAGTGTGTATGGGTGTGGTGTGTGTATCTGGTTCAATTGCATTTCTCTAAGGCAGTTTAAAGCATTTCATGCCAAATTCTATTTGCTTTAAAATTGATAGATTAATTCCTTAGAAGAGTTCCTTTCAATGTCATTTAAGAAATAATACTCTAGTCGTTACTAAATAAAGCTTCCATTTTGTATTGTATTTTTTATATATGTTTTCTACTGACAGTAATGTCAGTAAAAATGGCAGAATATCCAGAGCAGCTTACAGTGAGATACTTTTACCTCAAAATTTATCTTTTGATTTTCATATTTTGGTTATAAATATAAGTCCTATGACATGTTAACGTGTAACATGGAAAAGAATTTTGGGGCCAGATAATTTTGCCACATGCTGGGTTACTCAGGCCTAAATGGGTTTCTTTACTGCAGGATGTTTTAGAACCTTTAATACACTAATGTACATTATAAGTATTTCAGAATGGGACAGAACAGTGTTTACAGAATTTATTTAAACACGGAACACTCATTTCTAAGACTGTTGTTCCATAGAACGTATTTTGGGAACTATTTGTATCTGATGCAGTTAGTATTTTTGTGAATTGCTCTAAAGGAAGTAGTGTGTCTAACCTTTATTGATGAATGCCATCCAGTTTACTTAAAAAAGTATTAACTTTAACACTTGGACACTTGGGCCAGTTAGTTTCAAATGCTTTACGGATCCTTTTAAAAATTAAGAGCTTTAAGATTTCAGGTATGGCTTTTCTCAGCTGCTTCTAAGCTTTTCTCTAGAATGAAATTCATCCACATGCTTAGTGTTATTGAAATGGATCTTAAACAGACTAGTGTGATACGATCTCTTGATGACTCCCCCAACTTTTTTCTCCTCCGTGGTTTTCTCTACTGTGCTCCAAACTAATATTTTTAAGTTTCCATTCTGACAGTTTTATATGCAAACCCTTATACACATGTGAACATGGTCAAAACTTCACTCATCCTCTCCCATATCATTGTTCCTCAAACCCAGACTTCAGTTTCTGTTTCCCAACATGGCTAGTGGCACTATTGACATTTTAGTCTGGTTCTTTCTTGTAGGGGGCTGTTCAGTGCATTGTAGATGATTACCGATGCCCCTGGCTTCTACCACCTAGGTGCCAATAGCAGTCTTCCTCAGTTGTGACAACCAAAAATGTCTCCAGAAATTGTGAAAGGTCCCAATGGGACAAATCACCCCTGTTTGAGAAACACTGCTCTGCAACCAATCTGTTGCTTAATTTTACTGATTCTGTTTTCTAAATTTACCTTTAATCCCTCCTCAATCTTCATTCCATTCCCTAACTTCCATTCCCCTTCCTTCCTTCCTTCCTTCCTTCCTTCCTTCCTTCCTTCCTTCCTTCCTTCCTTCCTTCCTTCCTTCCAGGTTTTATTTATTTGTTTTTGAGAGAAAGAGAGCACAAACAGGGGAGGGGCAAAGAGAGTGAGGGAGACACAGAATCTGAAGCAGGCTCCAGGCTCCAAGCTGTCAGCGCAGAGCCTGTTCAAACGGGGTTTGAACCCACGAACCATGACTTCATGACCTGAGCTGAAGTCGGATGCTCAACCGACTAAGCCACCCACGCACCCCATTCGTCTTTATTTCTAATACTTGAGTTTTTCTCGTAAGAGTCTGACTAGCCTTCTTGTGTTCAGTCTTGTTTCCTTCCCATCCACCCCTTCAGTACTGCCAAATGTGTCTTTCTAAAATGTAGAGCTGTTCTCTATTTACAATCTCTGAGTAGTTTCCAGAGGGGACCCACATGAATTGGCTTCTCTCTTTAGCCTCAGTCTTCAAAGGCACTCACACTCACTAAGGTTCTTGATACACCTACCTGTGTACTATTGCCTCTTCCCACTGTTACCATACTTTGTTTCAAATTCTACTAAGACATCACATTCTCCATGGTAGCTCTCGGTCACTTATTTCCAAAGAATCTGTCATGGTGAAGAGCATTTTATTTTTTTGACATCTGTCCTCCCTCATCATTTTCAGGGGCAGGGACCATCTTTATCTGTTTTTGGCTTGTAGATATTCAGTAAAGGTGTGAACTGTTTATTAGTATGCCTTGATAGATGTAGTAACTTCCTTGTTACTTCTAGGAACTCTGTTCCCTGTGTCAGCAGTGAAATTATTTTCCTAATATTTTTAATCTAGAGTTTGACAAGATTTTGACCAGAAATCTTGAACTGTAATTTTAAGAAGTCTCCTATTCAGAAGAGAATTGAAGAAAAGCAGTGTACTTGGTTGATACTCAAATTCATAAGGCACACTTGTAAAACAGCTAGTGTAAAGATTTTTATTCACAAGGGAATTGAATTTATGGATTAATTGTGCAGATTAATATAATTATGTGAATTAAAATGTGGAAAATATTTATGAGACTCAAAACACTAGATTTCCGCTGATAGGGATTTGTTGATTGGCCATATAAGATGTGTAAAGGCAATATCATTGTCTTAACTATTTTTGTTTCTTATAAAATACATATATTGCAACACCCTGCACTATTTAGAAATTTACTGCTTGTCAAATGGGGGAGAAGTTGTTAGATAACCCTAGAGTTCCTACTTCCCTTCCCTCCATGCCCTAAATAAATACATTTGTGTGTTTCGGTTTTCCTGTGGATTGGAACTAGTTAGTTACAGTCAGGCTGACCAACTGCACTACACCTAGAACTTTAATTAAAAGGTGAAGAGAAAAAAAAGCCTCAAGGTTTGTAGGGCTTTTTGGAAGATAACCCAAGTGTAGCCTCACTGAAAAATTGAAGGATTAAAGATAGGGAAAGAGGGAATGAACTAGACCTTTCTCAAATTCAGAAGAGTTCTTCATCCAGGCACAATGCCTTGGGAGGTTGTGAATAATTATTTGTTGAATGAATCTATATATAATATGAGTTAAGCCAGAAGTGATGACTCTCTGCTTCAGTTTTTAGGGAGTGGCATAAAATGTATCAGTTGCTTCACAACAGATTCTTAGAATAAGAAAAGTTGTTATGGAGGTTTCCAGAAATAAAGCTGGGTGGAGCCAGGTTACCTACAGGGAAGGGGCCTCCCTTTCATACCTGCTCTCCAAGGGCTGAAGAAGATCATAGACATATGTGACACCCAGCCTATTACTGTTACCTGAAGAGTCGTCTTGCCATGGGCCAGACTTGGCTTGCCTGTTTTCTAACTTCTTCTCTTCCATACTCTCCTTTCTTTACTGGTTAAAATTCTCTTTAGGACCTTATGTAGCTTTAGGAAAGGAAGATGTGTAATTGAAAGAAATGAACTTTATTTGGGCTCAAAGCAAAAAAGCCTGGTAAAGGCTGTTTCCAGAAGAACTTCTACTCAGAACTTGGAAAATTTTGCATTCTCATGCTTCTGTTGCATATATATCATCACATGCTTGTTTTCCAGACTGTAAAATAAGCTAATGATATTTCGGATACACATTTTTTAATAGTTTGGGGTCTTGAAATTATTTTTAAAATCTGTTTAAGGCCCTACTCAGTAAAAGATACTATGGTTGTGAGCTACCTTGTTTTCTGTATACTTTTTAATATAGTAGAGGTCAACTTTTCTCAGTAAGTTTATTACCTGTTACTGGATTAATCTAGTTTTAAATAGGTGAACATTTTTAACCTAGTGGTTATATAAAGTTCTTGTATTTTAATAGAATATAGTCGGTTCTCATTATTTAGAGTAGTTGTGTTCTATACAGGCATCACGAACACTGAATTATCAAATACTCAAAGATTGCTTCTAGGGGATACAGAGAGTTAGGTTCCTACAAGCCTCCGATCACATTTTCATCAACCAGTCAGTACATAAGCTTGTTTTATGTGTGTTTGTATTTAAAGACCCCTCATTTACTATAGACAATTGATTCATTACCATTGAACTCATGGCCAACAGCACTATAATTCATGCCTGAGCATAGCTTATAACGTTCTCTCCGTAAGACACATCACAGCCTTCTTGCATCCAAGAATAGACTGTGCTTCAGCCCTATGCTTGGGAGCTGTTTTACACAGTGAAAACACCAACAAAAAGCACAGTATTATGAAATGCATGGTGCCAAATAGATCACAAAAAGGACACTTGTTTATAGTATGGGAGCTGAAATAAGGCAGAGTGTTGCCTTGATCAACCTCAGATGGAAGCATGCATGTCAGGCGATTGCATCTTTCCACTACAAAAGACTAAGAAGGTACCTCAAGTACTGATTTTGGAGTTACAAATACATTTTAGTGAGTAGACAGATTCGTCACATAATGAGAATGGACTATAATTGTTTTAAAGAAGCTTATGATTGAATACTTACAGTATTCAAATATGGAACAATGTTTCTATCGTCTTGGGGGATGTGGGAGTTTTGGGGTAAGTGGAGTCATCCTCACAGATTTCATGTTCTGTTGTCCAGTGCAATAAAATGACTGCTTTCAATCTGTCATTTTATTTTCTGCCTGATAGGGAACAACCCATCTTCAGCACTCGAGCTCACGTCTTCCAGATTGACCCAAACACAAAGAAGAACTGGGTACCCACCAGCAAGCATGCAGTTACTGTGTCTTATTTCTATGACAGCACAAGAAATGTGTATAGGATAATCAGTTTAGATGGCTCAAAGGTAAGTTATATTCTCTTTAAATGATCTTGCTCTTTTGCTTTTTATAGTAGAGCATCTTCTGTTTTATTTGGGGAATTTTCATCTTTATTAAGATACAATATTTCCTTTTGAGTTTTAAAAACTTCAAAAAGCCAAAATTGATCATTTTTAGCAACACTTTTTGTCTTTTTATCTTCTAAATTACTTGGATTGACCACCTTATTTATATTGAGTTACATTCCAAAATATTCTACAAATTTTAGGTTAGTTTATTCGATATATTATATATTCATTGCATATCTATTACATGTCAGGCACTATGCTAGTTGCTAGGAATATAGTGGTAAACAGAATGGACAGTTTCTACACTGTTGGAGCTTACAGTCTAGTGAGGAGCTAGAATTCTTTTCAGATACACTTTTGTAGATTATTCAGTAATTCTAAATCCCTAAATGGTATGAAGTCTGGTCAGTGTCAGCATTAAAGCTGACATCCCTTACTCTGAAGGGAAGCATGTGGACAAGACCTAAGTTTTTATTTTTAGGAGAGGCAAATAGTATAATATTTAAGAGCATGGACTGCCTGGGTTCATATCTTAGCTCTGCCATCTACTAAGTTTTTGACTTCTAGCAAATTACTTCTCTGAGCCTCATTATTCTTAGTAAGGATTAAGTGAGTTAATATCTGCATAGCACTTTGATCATTGTCTTATAGATAGTATGCCTTTCAAAGGGGGGGAAATTCCATTTTTTATCAATGAATTTTGAATAAGAAATACCAAACATCAGATTCTGGATAAAATGTGTATAGAAGGACAAGGGTTTCATTCTTCTCCTTCACGTTTTTTTTAAAGCCATGAGGCCTTTGAACTTGCAGAAATTTTAGCAGGTCAGCCCAGGGTCTAAGCACACACTCTAGACCTAGACTCCCTGGTTTGAATTTTTGCTCTACTGCTTCCTAGCCATGTGACCTAGATCGAGCAAGATAGTTCATGTCTTCACACCTTAATTTTCTCACCTGTAAAAAGGAACTAATAAAAACACCTACATCATTACACCATGGGATTCATGTGAAGATTAATTAATTTATGCAAAAACACGTAAAGGGTGTATAGTAACCACTATACAAACACTGCTCTTGTTATCGTTATTAATATTTTTAGGCTATTAGGTATTGCCTAGTGGTTTGGGGAAACAAAAGATAATTTAATGCTCAACTTTCAGTTCATTTTCTCTTGTGCTCACTGCTTATCTCCTTAACTAGATTACAGAACCCCAGGGGCTATTTGCCCCTTATCTTCTACTTAAGTGACTAGTACGTATTTATTAGAATAATTGATTCTCTTTCATTTTTACTTGGAGGATTTAAAGGACTTGAGAAATAATAATAGTTAATTTCTATAAAACTTCTTTAATGAAGAATAAGTTTGTCATATTTTGTAACTATTTAGTGACATCAACAGGTATTAATTGTTGTGATCTCAGCCACTAGAATATTAATTTCTTTCTTTTCCCTGACTGGAACTTTCAGTTCTCTATAATCTGTATTTCCCTCTTGGCCCAAACCACAGATAAGATGGAGTTTTATCAGATGGGAGACTTAAATAGAATAAAGTTCAACTGAAGTATTCCCATGTCCCGTGTGATTAAGTAACTCTTATGTGTCCTTCCTTCTGAGGCGATAGGAACTATTGCTTCTGGCCTCCATTCTTGAGTATACTTTGCAGCTTGTAAACATTACACTCTTAAATAGCTCTTGTGAACAAGTTTTTATTTATTTTAACAAAATCTACCCTCTGTAGCAGTTTTGATTTCTATCACATGTTCCATTTTCTAGTTAACTTTTTTAAAACTGATGCTGGTAACTACTGCAGTTCCCTGCAGGCAGAGTTGTTTTTGGTAAGCAATAGTGTAAGCAGAGTGGCTTACTTGTGGCTGAGTGTTTTCTCCTCCCTGCCCCACTTCTATTTCTGCACTGCGTGATGAGTTGGAAAGCCCTTAGGTGCCCCTGATTAGAAAATGTCCATTTGTTCTCATTTAATGCCCTTACTGTGCATGTAAAGTTTGCTTAAAGGCTTTCTAATCATGCTGCAGAGACATCAGCATGGCCGAGGGCCAAGATAAGAGCACTACATGATCTGTAATGACACAGCATTTCTACCTGTTTTCCTTGAAAGGATGGGAACTCTGGGATTGAGAGAAAATTTATTTTAAAGAATTAAGATTTTCCTTTTAAGTGGATTCATCTTCAAAAAATTCAAACCATTCTATTCAAAGAATTCTAATGAATAATTTTTTTAAGTTTTTTTGGGGGACAGGATGGAGCAGAGAGAGAGAGTGGGGGGAGGGAGAAAATCCCAAGGAGGCTCCCTGCTGTCAGCACAGAGCCTGATGTAGGGCTCAAACCCATGAACCATGAGATCATGACCTGAGCCAAAACAGAGTTGGACACCTAACTGACTGACCCACCCAAGCATCCTATGAATAATGTTTTTTAAGTGTGGGATCGTCTTTCATTTTAAAGTTTTTCTTCAGTGATTAAAGAATCCCTAAGCAAGTAATCCCCAAGACAAGTGGAGGCAAGGAAAGGTTCAAAATGGGGATTAAAATGGGACTCTTAACCTTAAAAGCATCAAGAAGTTCATTTGAAAGAGCTGAAAGTGAAGGTCTGTGACCTACAGCAAATGGGTCATTTTTCTTACATGTTTTCTTACAGGTTTTCTTATAAAACCTATTGCTACCTCACTTTTTGAGAGTTACTGAGATCCCATGTAAAATGCCCTTCTCTCCTTGAAAACACTTAGATCTGAGCTCACAAGCATCCTCCTCCGGGAACACTCAAGGACCGCCAAATCTAACCTAGTACCTGCCAGTCCTTGCCTTCTAGACTCCCTCTCTCTATCAGATGCTGGTCTTACAGGCTTCGCAGCACATAACACTCTGAAATTACATTAGTCAGTTACTTACGTATATGTTAATTGACTGACTGTTCTTGGTTTAGAATGTAATCCACAGTTACATTACCGTTCAGTGTTGCATTTCAACCCTCTAGAATTGTGCTTGGCATTTAATAGGTACTCAGCAAAAAAAAGTTGCATAACCAAATGATTCCATAACCAGATTCCTTACCTTTTGTTATATTTTGTTATTAACCATTTGTTAATATATCCTTTTCCGTTGAGTCTTTTCATTTCATGACTACCTGCAATTTAGAGTACTTTGTTAGCCACATTTTACAGAATCTAAAATGACACGCTAGGAAAAGCAGCTTTTGAACTGAAGGGTAAGGAGGTTTGAGTATGAGTATTTAAATTTTGTCACAGGTAAAAATGCTTAATCAAGGGTAAGGGCTCTCATAGAACTACAGATAACACATCTGTTTTTGCGACAGAAAGCAAGGGGCCAGCTACTCTTACTATCTTCTTTAGTAGGACAGGTGTCATACATTTATTATAACTTCATCAATACATGCATACTCATAAGTATTTATATTTGTACTGTTCACGTGTTCAATAGATTTTGCTTTGTTCTGAAAATGCTTGATTTTCATTCTACATTTGGTAGTTCACCAAAAAACTGCTTATGAATTTGGTAACATGTTTATTTCTATTATTACTGGAATCACTTTGTAATCTGAATTTTGGAGGGCATTAACTCACTAACTTAACTGATTATATACTTTTATAGTACTGGCAGTGAGAAGGTACTTCTCTTAATATGATACACAGTAATAGTTGGAATTTATTATGGTGTTCACCAAAATCAATATTTAATAACACCAAAGTACTAATTTTGTAAGAAACTTTGTGTTAAATAGAAATGATAGTGAATCTCAGTATCATGAATTTATACCACTTTGTGGGAAAAGAAGTAAAGTATATATTTAGGGGTTGTTTTTCCCTTGAGTAAACTCATTAGAAATCCTTTGTTTTTTTACAGAAGTAAATAGTCCTGTGTTTAAATGCCTGTTTGCTAACTTTTGGCTTGTAACTCATATTTATTTTATTTTTTAGGCAATAATTAATAGCACCATCACCCCAAACATGACATTTACTAAAACATCTCAGAAGTTTGGCCAGTGGGCCGATAGCCGGGCAAACACTGTTTACGGGCTGGGATTCTCCTCTGAGCATCATCTTTCAAAAGTAAGTCAACTCATTAGATTACGTGGAAATCTTCGTCTTCAAATCATAGGTCTTAAATATATAATAGCAAATGAAAAGTGTAAAATATAGGAGAAATTTAATACTCTAGAACAATTATAGTGATTTTAAAGCAAGAAGTGAGAGATCATTGGATTTCACTGTCAATTGGGAAATAATTTATACACATTAAAAACGGTCACCATTGATAGAGAAGTATTTGGGTGGTTAACTCTCTGTATGGTAGTTCACATAACAGTTGGGGATTATCACTTCTGAATGGACTTTGCCCAGGGATTAGCACCCTTAGTGGAGATGGTCTGCAAGAAGGTAAACAGCAAGCTCTTCTGAATTGTGAAAACATAAGCTGATAGTGATACAGATTTCAGCTTTTTGACATGACAGCAGGCACTTAAGAATTACTTTGTTTAGGGAAAATGGTGCTTTCTCTGAGAATTACTTCAAACTCTGTAATATAGTACAGAGTGGTGAGATCTAACAAACACATGAAGAGTTCCTGCAAGATACTGACCAAGTGAATGACTGTGGCCAGAAAGGCCAACAAAATACAGAACATCACCAGGCTAATTACTGGAAATAAAAGAGTTGTCCCGCGTACCAGCAGCAGCTTGCAGTGTTTATACCAGCAGTGCCTTGTGGGTGTCATCCACAAAGACTAAGGCAAAGGAAACTGTCTCAGGATAAGATACTGATCAAGGAGATGAGGAGTACTCACTTGGCTCGTCAGATTTTATGCTCACCAGACCCAAAGGTTTATTCTTTGAACTTCTCTATTTGAAATGTTCAATTAAAAGGATAACCCTACCTTTCACAATAATTTGATGCCTTTTGGGAGTTACAAATGTTCAGCTTCAGGGTCATCAGACTCTTGTAGGTATACACTGTTTATGTTTACACTGTAAGCTATTCATTACACAAATCATTCTGATGCTTAAAAATAAGTTCTTTTTAAAAATAATCTTACGTTTTTGTGAATATTGACTCGTGGGTATAGTTAGATCAATAATTGAAGTAATCTTTGCTTCCATTTTTTTTGGTTGTAGACATTACTTAACATGGTTGTTTTCAAATATTTTTATTACCTTTAATATAAATTACAGTTTAGGGACCAATTTTAAGGCTATTTTAACTTTCGCCTTCATGATTATAAGTCCATTCTCTGTAGGATGATGAAAATGAAAAAGTGTTACTGATTTGTTTTCTGTTACACCCATCTTACTCTCTAAATACATTTCTTGGACTGTGGTAAAGGTATGAATTCTAGATTCAAAGTATTTCAACATAGCAGGGACACAGGTATCCATCTGAGCATTGCCCCTCTGGAAATAATCCCCTTAGGAAATTACACATTTGTTCTAATAATTTTGCCATTACTCAGATGGAACCTTTTTGGAACTTCCTTTTGGAATTGTCTATTAAAGTCTAGAGCAAAAAAAGTTGATATATTACCCTTGCTAAATTTCTTGACAGGAACTAAATTGTGGATTAATTTCTCAAATAAACTTGTATGAAATGATTTTTGGGCATAAGTAATTTTGACTGCAAATTAAGTTTTTGTCACATCTTTGAGGTTACTGGGCAGCTAGCTAATGTGGCAAAGTAATAGCTTATTAAATTCTGTCAGTTATACTGTATCCTTTCATTTGATCTTTTTTTTCTGAGAATGGCTTTTATATTTCAAGAATTTTTCCTCTTTCAAGTTAACATATACTTTTGACCAACCTTACTGATAGTGATTCCTAGTATTTTGAGGGAGAATCTACATTAAATAAACTAGACTTGGCTCCAGGAATTATTCACTGGACTTGGCTCCAAGAGTTGGTGATCAGTCTCTTCATAATGTTTTTGTCCAGAGATGACAAAATCATGATTTCTTTTCCATGCTACCTTAAAGACCATGTTGCTGCTTTATAGACTATAGGGGATCCCAAGGAGTTTATAATCTTTTACATAAATGAAGCAAGCATGTAATTATTCTGGCTTATTTTATCATTAAAAACCGTAAGTGAATCAAAGCATTATAAGGGTTTTAGAAAGTCTTAAGGCAATTCTAGACAAGGATCTCTCAAAATAAGAGAGAGTAGCAGTATTGAGAGAAATGTTTGGTCCGTAGGGTTGATGTATGAGGAAAATTGCAACTGTGCTTGGATTGTTAGAGTGCTTACTAAGTTGTATTTTGTTACCATGGAAACGCAAACCTATAAAAATTAACAGTAGTGTGAGCCTTTATGAAGTTGAAAGAGTTTTAAACATTAACTATGTTGGAATGCTAGATGAGTGTAAGAAAAACTGTGTTCTACTTCAAATTACATTGAGAGAAATTAATTATGGTTTCCTTTTTATTCCATTTACACAAGTGTGAATGAGACCTTTTTAGCTTTGTGTTCAGATTACTTGAACAGAATACCTCCTTACTTGAAAAAGGAGTAGTAATATACATTCAGTTCCCTGATCTACAAGTTACAGGTGACAACTTTAATGTAAGAAGGAAAGTTGTAATGAAAACTTAAATTTTAGCCTTCTTCCAAATGTCCAAGGCAGGTTAGAGTACAATGACCTTTCCTTCCCAAGTTTTCCTTCTCAATATCAAAATGAAATCAGGGTTGGCTTATGGGGTTTGAGTAGGGAACCATAATTTCATATTTTAATTACTAGCTCTAGCTGGTGTTTTAAGTTGCATAGAGATTTTTGACTTTTTAATTTGATTATTGTGTAGCCTTAACTTACTCTGAGAATAACGTAAACTAGTTTCCACTTCCAAAGCAGTAATAGATAATCTTTGTGGCTCTGACATTTCTAGATTACTATGGATTTGTAGGAATTAGCATTTTATGTACCATAGTTTGTTGTTGTTGTTACCAATTTTAAAGACCTTTGTGGAGTTCATGTTATTCCTCTCTGCTGTTGTACATTAGCTGTTTAAGAATCTTTGGAAATGAAGTTTTAGTAATGCCATTTAGCGATAATAGAAAATGTTGCCATTTATGTTGTTGAAAATAAAAAGCCTCACATAATATGAGAGTTTATGTTCCAGTAAAATTTAAAAGCACACTCCAAATACCGAGATGTTTATGAGTAAATACCTAAAAGATTCATTTTTTTCCCTGTGATAAACAAAGTATGCTAATCTTTACTGATTCCACTCCCATCCTATACTCTGCACCTTGGTCTTAGTAAAGTGTATCTGAACACTGAGGAAGAGACGTAGATAAACTAGCTGACCTCAAGTTCTAAGTTAGTTATCATGATGTCTTTGACTGCAGTTTGTCCAAGGAGTTTGTAGTGTACAGATAAGTGTTTGGTATTAGATTTCTTTTTCCTTCATTTTCGTATTACACCTATAATTGATTTAATGGCTACGTCGCTTATGTTAAGAGTCAGTTATTCAGCAATTGAAAGAAAACCAAGGTAAAAGTGGGCAGTGAGACCTGTTTTTATTTTATTTGGTTAATGTATATAGTCTTTATACATTCAGTTCGCAGAAAAGTTTCAGGAATTTAAAGAAGCTGCTCGACTAGCAAAGGAGAAATCACAAGAAAAGATGGAACTTACCAGTACACCTTCACAGGTGGGTATTTAATTTCTATTCCTATTTTTGAGCCTCACTCATTTCCGATGGTATCCTTTATGCCAGGGTTACATTTGGGAAAACAATGGCAAATTTAAGGACATAGAATATGGACATAGAATATGCCCTTCACTTAATCTGTAATAGTGGAGAAAGGTGGTTTTTTGCTGTATGCCAATGTCTGCAAGAATCTGGGGAGGAAATGAGTTTAATAATTATAACTCAGATTTTTTGATGTGCATATAACTTTAAAACAATCATGTGTAAAAAGCATAGATTGGCCTAATGTTTTATGTTCTGTGATGGTCAATCACAAGAGGAGACACAGGAGAGGCTCAGGAAAATGAGTTTATTGTACTCACAGGTCTTAGAAAAAGGCAGCATAGCATACATCTGAGGGGCACATAGGGAAGCCTCAGGGTGGTCAGGAGGCAGAAAGCAGGAGCATGGGAAAAGCTGAGGCTAGAGCTATATTGGAGTTTCCTTGGGAATGGCAGGGCAGGGTAGACAGTTTATTTGGCTTGTTGAATAATTTCTGTAGGCTCTAAACTTATAGGGTATTCCCTTGTTGCCTGGTATCTGGCTCTGGGATGATTAAGGCAGAGGAATTTTGCATCCTGGGTGTGTGGGCCAGATGAAGGAGGTATAGCTCTGCGTTGGTTAGTTTGCATATCAAAGGCATGCCCCCATCTTACCTCCTTGCTCTAAGAATTGGCTAGCCAGAAAGGTTTTTTTTTTTTTTAAGATGTCAAAATGTCAAATACATAGAAAATTTAAAAAAAAAATCTGTTTTATTTGATTTTAGTCTGTTTTCCTTGATTTTAAGTGTAATTAAATCTGACAGTTGGGACATCTTTATACTTAGTACTGAGACCCAAACAATTTTCCTTTAACAATTGATTTAATACTGTGACTTGCCCATCATAATCTTCCTTCATTTGGAAATTAATTAGATCTCCGAGTTAAGTTCCTTAAATACTCCTATTTCAGTACTTTTACAGAGGTTTTAATGTACATGGTATGATTCAACTTTTTTAATAGGCTTTTCTAAAATTCATTTTCAGGGATGCCTAGGTGGTTCAACCAGTTAATGTCCACCTCTTGATTTTAGATCAGGTTTTGATCTCACAGTTCGTGAGTGCCAGACCCATGTCCAGCTCTGTGCTGAAAGCATGGAGCCTGCTTGGGATTCACTCTCCCTCTCTCTCTGTCCCTCCCCCCACCTCAAAAATAAATAAAATAAAATAAATTTTTATTTAAATTTGTGCCCTAAGTGTAGAGTTCAGGTTTGGGCTGGGTTCTTGTCTATAGCAGTTGTTTTTGAAGCATACTCAGGAGTTTACATGAAAAGGAAAAATCAGATGTTATAAATGTTTCTCTGGAATATTGTCAGTAGTAGCAGATTTACATAAAACTTGAGGAAGTAAATCGGAGTTGCCTGGGAATTTAGTGACTAGCCATTTTTGAAATTTTTTTGCTCTTCACCTTCCACCTCACACCTGGCACCCCACTGGGTTTTGATAAACCCTACTGGTATAAAGAGTTGGGTGGGTTTTTTTGTTTTTGTTTTGTTTTGTTTTGTTTTTACAGAAAAAGAGAGCTCTGTTAACTATGCTTAAAGTACATATTTCCTCATAGATTAAAGGTGTGCCAAGGCTCCATTGTACCTCCTCAACATTTGCATTGACCTGGAATAACATGAATGATCATTTTGAAACTTGCGTTGAATCTCTCTTCCCTAAGTGCTACAGGAGTTAGAGTATACTTTTCATAAAAACCTATTTAAAGTTTAGTACCAATACATGTTGGGAACTCCAGGTCCTCAGGTGAATGATTCTAGCATTGTAAGAGGATATTACAGCACATGCAGTTAGAGAATAAGCAAAGGACTGCAATAAAATTATAATTGATTACACTTGGCCGTTGTACTTAGTTCTTGTTTCTCTGATCATAACATGTCTTTATTTAATTGGCCATGAGCAAGTTGCTGGTAAGATATCTGCCCCTCTTTGATGGTAGGAATGTCTTTAAGCCTTCACTTTCATCAAAAGAGTATATCCAAGATGTTTATATATGGAAAATACTATGAAATAGAAGGACTAAAAAAGATCTTAAGTTCATCAGTATTTGAGAGCCAAAATACACTGACCTTAAGTTGTCTTTTCAAAACATTTTAAGTCTGGTTGCTAATTTGATGTACAAAGCAGAGTAATATTTTTAAAAAAATATATTTATTTTCATTTCCATTTCCTCCCCCTCCTTTTTGTGACATTCTCTTACATATGTCATTAATATCTCTGTTTTACTTTGAAATATATGACTGCTGGCCACTCTGATTATACTCATCTGGAGAGTAGAGTTTGATTCTCCCTGATTTAACCTAACCTGCTAAATTAACACTCTGCCTGAAGAATAGACTACTACTCAGGAATTAAGGGGATCAAGAAGTTAAATGGAATAATTGATAGTGGTAGTCACTCAGTTGGTCATAGCTTTTGAAAAGTATGGGTTTTCAAGTGAGACAAACTTGTACATAATTTTTTTTTTTTTTTTGTCACTATGTGGTATTGGGAAAATGGCTTCACCTAGGTCTGTTCATACATGTGTAACATGGGAATTACATACTTACACTACAGGATTGTTGGAGAGGATAAATATGATTTAATGGCAATGTCAAACGATAATGGCACTAATGTAGGTTTTATAGCCTGTTTTTTTTTAATCTGGGCTCCAGCCCTTACTAGTTTGTTTTTTTTTTT